CAGCTTTCCCAAAACCTCATCTATAAAGTCATTTCAAATAAAAGTCCCACATCACAATGTTTGGAAGCACTAAGTTAATAACGATCAGTCAGCCTCTATCCAAAACACCTGTCTTAGAACTTTAAAGAGTTTATACCTGGAGGCAATTTTTGGCTCCTAGAGTTCTCTCCAGCAACAACTTCTCTGGAGGCATAAACAGAATCACATCTTTTTATTGTGACCTTTTCCTGTTATCTCAGGGACATCCCTGTATAGGAAGCTATTCTTTTTATTAAATGAAGTTCTCATCTATATTCTGAGGGGCTGTTTGCCCAGTTTATAGAAGGTAATCAAAATATCAGAAGGATGCTTTATAGAAAGAAAAACATTCATGCCCATTTGTAATTTATGGAATGCGTATGCATAAGTGTACTTGATGGATTTGCACCCAAATGCTGTTAGCACACATAAAGGTGTGGATACAGGCCACAAAGTGACAGAAATAGAGTGGAAAGAGCCTCATGCTATATATTGCCTAGACAGCAAGCCGTGCAGGGCATATTGGTTGATTAAGAGTGCGTTGATAAATTGGATTTTGGCAACAAATCATGATGTTATATGAAGAAAGTGCTGAACCAAGACATAAGAGATTTTGGGGGGTTTCTGTTTTATCATTTCCATAATAAAGGAAACTAAAACATTCGTGATGGGTTTTTACACTCTAAAAGTCTAACGTTGATTTATTTCGACGGTACCACCTGTTGTGGGGAGGCAGCGAACCAACAAAACTAAAAGCATAGACGCTCTATTCAGCCAAGGTTCGAATGCCAGCACCACCCTACTAACTGGGGGTTCCCAACACCAACAAACAATTCTCTGGTTCTCCAAACACCGATGTTCAACAACTCGATTCCGTTCTGACACTAATTATCCGGAGTTGGTGCAGATCCCACAGATTTAAAAGCTCAGTCCCTCCAGACTGCCCCTGCCCCATTTCTGAGGCCAGTCGCAAGCCTTGGGCCACCTAGACTTCTGATCGGCTGGCTACCAATTGGGAATTCCTACAATCCCCTCTCCTTGGCTCAATAATTGAGAACAGCTCACAGAAGTCAGGAATACTCTGTATTTACATTTACAGCTTTATTATAAAGGATATAACTCAGGCACAGCCGAGCAGAGGAGCCAGGGAGGGCAAGGTACGGGAGAGGCAGAGCGTCGGTCCCCTCTCTAGGTGCGACACCCTCCCAGCTCCTCCTCATGTTCACCAGCCAGAGCACCCTGAACACCCAACATCATTACGCACGGGTTTACATACAGCTCAATCTCCAACCTCTCCCCTCTCCAGCTTCTTATTGTCTTGTTTATAACAAGCAGGTAGGGCTGCCAAGGACAAGACGATTGTGCCTACACTTTTTCAATTGTGTTTCAATGGTGGGCACTCAAACATGGACTGCATTAAATGAAGTATAATGCACCGATTAAAGGAGGTGGTGGCCCACTGTATTGGGCTCTGCAGACCTCTTCTGGGCTGCTTTTTTCTAGTTCTGAGCATCCTGTTTTAATACAAATCTGGAAAAATGACCAGTGACCACTAGAGGGCAAGGTGATGATGAAGGGTCCACAGTGCAGGGACCAATGAAACATGTTTATCTGGAGAATAAATGGCAAGACACATGATAGTAGCCTCCAGATATTAGATTCAGTTTGTAAAGATCCAGAAACCCACATCATGACCAATGGCAGCTATTTCAGAAAGCTTGATTTTTTTTTTAACTCTTAATGGAAGCCCAGTACACATATCGAAAACTGCGGAAATCTTAAATGTACAGCTTGAAGAATTTTCTCGAGGTGAACACACTGAATCACCACCACCCAGATGAAGAAACACAGCATTAATACCCTGAAGTCCCTCTCCAGGAACTCTCCTCCAAAAGGGTAATCACCTGATTTCTAATACCAAAAATTAGTTTTGCCTGCTCCTGGGCTTTTCCTAAGTGGAACCTCATAGCACATGTCTGACTTATTTTGCTCATCATTATGTCCATGAGGCTCATCAATGCTGCTGCATGCAGCAAAGTTCATTCATTGTTATTGTGTATAGTGTTTTCCATTCTAGTCTGGTTGGGCATTTGGGCAACTTCTAATCTGGGCTATTATGAATAGTGCTGCTCTGAACAACCTTATATATGGCATTCACTGCATATATGTATGCATTGGGTAAATACCTAAGAGTGGAATTTCTGGATCACAGGGTACATATATTTTGTTTTAGCAAATACTGCCTCATAGTATCCCAAAGTGATTTTTAAAATTTATATTCTGGGGCATCTGGGTGGCTCAGTCGTTAACCGTCTGCCTTTGGCTCAGGTCATGATCCCAGGGTCCTGGGATCATATCCCGCGTCGGGCTCCCTGCTCAGCGGAAAGCCTGCTTCTCCCTCTCCCACTCCACCTGCTTGTGTTCTCTCTCGCAGTGTCTCTCTCTGACAAATAAAATCTTTAAAAAAAATAAAAATAAAATTTATATTTTTAACATCAGTGTATGAGAGTTCCAGTTGCTCATATTCTTCCCTATACTTGTTTGCCTGTCTTTCTCATTTTACCCATTTCGCTGAGTGTGTAGAGTTATTCATGGTGGTTTTAATTTCACTTCCATGGTAAGTAATAACATTGAGCATCTCCCCATCTGTTTATTGCCCATTTTCATATTCTCTTTTGTGAAGTGTCAAAAGTCTGTTGTCCATTTTTCTACTGACTTACCTTTTTGTTTATTGTACCAGCTGTTTATATATTCTGGAAATGAGTCCTTTGTTGGATAGATGTTCTGCAAACACCTCGAGGAGACAGATTTCAGTCTGATATAAAGAACCTCTTTATTAATGGAAGAGTCCAAAGAGAACACAGGTGGCTACAAATTAGAGATATTGAGGAGAGAACCCTGCACTGGGAGGATGGGCCAGATACTAATGCCCACATATGAGTAACATTCTATAGTTAATCAAATCATGTACATATTCTAGACTTTATTTGAACCTTTATATAACCTGGCTAGATAACACTGATGTCTGCTCATTTTTAAAATTCCTGTTTTAGGGGTGCCTGGGTGGCTCAGTAGTTAAGCATCTGCCTTCAGCTCAGGTCATGATCCCAGGGTCCTGGGATCGAGCCCCGCATTGGACTCCTGTGTAGCGGGAAGCCTGCTTCTCCCTCTCCCACTCCCCCTGCTTGTGTTCCCTCTCTTGCTGTCTCTCTGTCAAATAAACAAATAAACTTTTTAAAAAAAATTCCTGTTTTATTCTTAAGGCTGGCTGGCTTCTTAGGGGTGGCCCTCTGTCCCTTCAGCGTAGTGCTGAGTGATTAAGCTACTAAGGTTTTTACCTTTTGCTGTGGATCTGTGTGAGGGTTGGGGAACACATTCAAAGTTTAGGCCAAATCTGCCCCAGCTTTTACTTTCTGTACGTGCAAGGCCTCACATTTGGACAAGGATCGGTAGACTGCTAAGACCTTCCCAGGTTCTTTAATGAGCAAGCATGTAGCTTTATGTCTACACAGATTTCCAGACTACCAAGAATATGTGGAAGCCCATTCAAATATCAAAGCCCATTACAGCTGTCATGTTCCCCAGGTCTTTCTGTAAATTTCTGGCTGTTCTGCTGCTTGTCCCAGTCAGTATCACAACCTCAGGCTAGTTGTGATTGTTGGTCTTCCCTGACTGCCACAAAATCACCATTATTTTGACAATGCCCCAAGCATGGATTTTTCCAAATGGTGCTCCCAATCAAGTCGGCCTAATCTGGCAGTGAGGTTGCAGGTCCTCACGACCTGCCTTGCCCTGGTAGAACTACTGCTCCATGTAGCTGAGGGGATATGACAGTAGCTCCAGGCCAATATGCCATAGATTCCCACCATTCTCACCAAGGTTTTATAGGTTTTCTGGAATAAATGCTTCTCCATCTGTTGCATGCCTTTGGTCAATTTCCAGTGCTGAAATGGCTGTTTTTGACAATGTTTCCCATTTTATCATTGCCCTTTGGGAAGAGGATTTCCAGAGCTCCTGACTCAGCTGTTCCAAAAGTTCTCTCCCCTCCCTTTTAAGGAGGCTCTCTAGAAGACCCTATAACACTTTGTCTGCAAGGGGGTGTAAGTATCTTACTGATCACACAGGGCAGCCATGGTTTAGGGTGGAAGGGGATTGCACAAGGGCAGAGATACAGGGGAGAAGATCATAGGGACCATCTTGGAGGCTGGCTACCATGCTATCCTCACCTCTCACCTGGACTACTATGATCTGCCATTCCTTAACTGAGTCTGTTTTTGTCTCCCCAAAGTCTGTTCTCAACACAGCAGCCAGCAACTGTCTTACATCTTATGTTGCTCTTCTGCTCAAAATCCTGTAACAGCTTTTCATAGCCAAGTAAAAGCCAGCCTTCACCATGGCTCCACGGCCTTACATCATTTAGCCCTTATTGCCTTTCTGATTAATCTTCTACCACTCTCTCCTCCCTCACTCCACTCTAGCACAAATGCTATGCCTCAAACGCACTAAGCAGACCACTGCCCCAGGACCCTTGCACTGACTCTTTCCTCTGGCTGGGATCTGCCCAGATAACCATATGGCTGGTTCATTCAAGTATCAGCTGCTCAAAATAATCTTCGAGCACTCTTGCCATTTCCTTCTTATAGCACTTAACACATTGCCTGGTTTCCTCCACCAGGACAGAAGTCCCACAAAAGCAAAGAGTTTGCTCTGTTCTTGCTAAAGTCACATGCAAGGTAAATATTTGTGTAATATTTAAATAAGTGGGCAAATGAAAGTGGATGTTAGGCCCAGCTCTGTCCTGTTGATATGGTGAATTTTGTATATGAGACAAAGAAATTATGTATATGAAAGAAAGGCAAGAGGAAATAGGCATTTGAGTGGATGGGGGGGAGAAATTGTAGCTATTAATAAATGAACAAGAAAGGGAGGTGTGGGGGGGGTAAGTCAGGAAAATAACTGTGTGATATTAAATAAATCATTCAGATTTGTAAGTCTATAAAGTCTAAAAAAGGCACGAAGTTGAATTTGAAGGAATAACATTACATAGAATTATGCAAACTCAGAGAAATAAAGGAAGTTTATCCATGAGTTGAAAGGAACAGACCGGCATACTGTAGTTAAAAACATTAAAAGACTGAGAAAAAATACATTAACATTAATGAAACTACGGCGGAAGCTTATCAGGGCATGCCCTCCGCATGGGATGAATGTTGCGGGGCAGCACTTGATGGAAGGACAGGATCTCCCTGATCTTGTCCTGGCAAATCTTGTTTGCTGCTCGCCCTGCTTCAAACTCTCGGCGTTCCTCTTCCTTCTGCGCTTCCCGGGCCTGCTGCTGGTAGGATATTTGCATCTGAAGTTGCTTCCTGTATTCCTGGACCAAACTGGAGCGCCTAAGGTATTGGAAATGTCAAGTACAAAATTGTAAAAGCAAGCATTTGGATTCATTTAGGGCATTAGAAGTAAAATGTAATTTTTGAAGTCAAATTAAAATTCCCATTAAAATCAGGGTGAGATGGGAAAAAATAGATGGAAAATTCATTAATGTGTTTATTACACAATAATAATTAAGATAAACAGAACAAATATTGATTTTAGGGAGGGAATGCTTCTGGCCCACTGAGAATATTTCCTGCTATCTGGAGTGAGTCCTTGGCCTCTCTCCATCCCCTCTCCCACTCTTCTCCAAGGAAGAAGTGACTTTTCTACTGGTCAAACCAGGAACAGGTTAGTCTGCCGGGTTTCCACCCTCCTGTCAAAGGGCCACGCCCCTGCCGGAGAGACCTGGCACTCCTGGGGTCTGGGTGGGTATGTGTGTCTCATTCTGTTCAGTATGAACTAGACAATTTCCTCCATACATAAGCTACATTCTAAACATATAAACCACATTTTAAATTGTATAGTGTGATTTTTTTTTTTACTGTGGTAAAAAACACATAATGTAAAATTGACCACTTAATGATTTTTAAGTGTATAGTTCAGTAGTGTTCAGGACACATTGTCGTGAATCAGTTCTCTGGGACATTTTCATCTTGAAAATTTGAAAAGCTACACCCATTAAACAACAGCTCTCTTTCCCTCCTCCCCCCAGCCTCTGGCAACCACCATTCTAACCACCATTCAATTTGCTGTGTCTATGAATTTGACTACTCTAGGGATCTCGTCTAAGTGAAATCATATAGTACTCATCTTTCTGTGACTGGCTTATTTCACTTAGTATAATGTCCTCAAGGTTCATGCATGAGTTGGCATTTGACAGGATTTCCTTCCTTTTCAAGGCTAAATAATATTCCATTGTATGTATATATTACATCTGGTTTACCCATTCACGTGTTAATGGACATGTGGGTTATTTCCATCTCCTGGCTATTGTGAATAGTGCTGCTATGAACATGGCTGTGTAAATATCTCTTCAATGTCCTGCTTTCAATTATTTTGGATATATACCCAGAAGTGAGATTGCTGGATCACATGGTAGTTCTATTTTTAATTTTTTGAGGAAACTTCATACTGTTCTCCATAGTGGTCATGCCAATTAAAATCTATAAGCCACATTTTTAAATAACAACTTTTATCAGAAAAGAAGGCATGCCCATACCTCTGTGGCAGATTCCATTTTCTAAAGATGGTCATAGTAGCATCTCCCCTCCCATATGTTCTTCTGCGATGTGAACCTCTATTCCCCTTATCAAGAGGTGGAGCTTTGGTCTCCAGCCTTCGAATCTGGATAGGCCCCGGTGACTGTTTTTATGACCAATAGATTATGACACAAGTGATGCTATGCTAGTCCTAGGCGCAGCCCCTGTGTATTGGAACTCTCCCTGTCAGAACCAGCCACCACACTGTGAGAAGCCCCAGCACATGGAGAGGCCACATAGAGGTGTTCTGGGTGATAACACCAGCTGAGTCCTTAGCTACAGTCAGCACACACTGCCAGCTCTATGAGTAGGTATCTTAGGTGTCCAGGGCAGTTGGGCCCTCAGATAAATGTAGCTCTGGCTAACATCTGACTTGAACCACATGAGGGACCCCAAGGAAGAACCACCCAAGTAAGCCTTGTCACCAGAGAATCATGAGAGATAATCATAACTCACTTTAAAGCACAAATTGTAGGGTATTCTGTTATGCACCAATAGGTAGCTATGATACCTTCCACACATACTTGTTTTTCTTCTTTCTCAGTTGATTCAGAAGTTGGACAGGGAAGCACGTTGCTATTTATCAAGTCGCCCTCACATCTCCAACAATAAATTTTTCAAAATGAGAAGGAAAGACCTCCAGAGCAGAGGCAGTAGTAGGAAGTAAGTAGGGTAGACCAGAAATTATTGTTAGTGCCCCCAAACTAACAATAGGCGCAGGTATATAAACCCTACTCTTTCTAGAATGAAGAGAGCTTATTTCTATGTATTAAGTATGTGTAAGTCATGGGACAGGGCCAAGGGATGGGAAAGGGGACCAGCAATTAGAGGAGCCAAGTCGTCTTCCTCCACCACACTGGTCATCTGAATTGGGTATCTTGGTCACTGGTGGGAAAGGAGTGCTACGGTCCAAGAAATGCTGCAAAGAGGTATCTGCCTGTTTCCTCCACCAGAGCCTCGTGGTGGCGATCAGACGGGCATTGTCAGAGAAGGCAGTGGTATTTCCCAAAGCACCTAGAACATTTCAGTTTTCCAGCCCAGTGAGGCTACAAAAGTTCTTCTGAGGACATTTTGCATGGACTCCTATCCTCAGAAGCCATTTCTGCTACTCCAGCTAATCAAGCCACACTGTGTTTCAGGGTTTAGTTCATGGGAAAGAATAGTCTTCTTGTTATTTCATTAGGATTCAATGTTGGAGCCTATTTCTAAAAAATTGTTTCTAACTTATTTTATTTTTTAAGGTATTCGTTCAGCTTGATACCTAATGTCTATAATCACAATGTATACAATAGCAATAAAATTTAATTTTACCAAGATGTTTTGTGCTTATTTTTATATGGAATTTTGTAAACTGACTGGAACTTTTAGGACAAATGTAATACTGATGTAAAAAATGTCAATAATGCATGAGTGATGGCACATTGTCCTCTCTCTACATTAAAAATCTTCCCCGTTTTTAGGCAGTAAACAATAATAAAGAAAACAAAATCATACCTTGCAAAATTCTCCTTCTCTTCACGGTTAAGCTCTCGAAGACCTTCATTTATGCGTTCCTGTTCCATAGCACGCTCTTCCTGTTCTTTTGCTTTTCGTTGCACTTAAGAAAGACAAATGTAATTTTTGGTAAATGGCTTTCTTCAGACAAGACTTGCTGGCATCCCTCTGGGCATCAATGCCATCCTGTCTTTAGAGAGGCAGAGCCTACAATCACTGGGCTGTATCTTAGGTCAACAGGATAGAAGTAGTCCTCTCCAAAAGGGAAGAAGAAGGTTTAGGTTCGAATGTGTGTGATCTACACAGATTTTTTTCTTAACCATTTTTCACTGAAAACCTACGATCAGCCTTTTTCAAACCAGGTTACCACCATTAGAACACTTCTTACCTTTCTCTTCTTGAGGACAAACAGTTCTGTTGTCATTTATGTTAAGAGAGTTTACGACAAAATAAATACTGGAAAAGCCTGAGTTTATAATATATAAGGTATTTATGAATTAAAATTTAAAAACATAAGCATCCAGTAAGGGTGACAAAATGACAAAGAAAACAGAGTTCACAAAAGAATAAATACAACTGGGAAATACACATCTGAAATGTACATCTTTGGCGCCCAAATCCACTTATAGGAACTTTTCTTAAATAATCATATATAAGCCAAGAAGAACTATATACAGAGATAGTAACCTGCAATTCTAAAATAGTAGTAAAAAGATTCAAGACAATCTGAAGGTCCATTAATTGTGTTTAGGTAAAATAAATCATGGTCCATTTTTATAATGGATTTCTAGGCAGCATTACAAATTTTATAATTGAAGAAAAATGACCCAGAAAAATGTTTATAATAAGTGGCAAAAGCAGGCTGTAAAACAATATATTCAACATAAATCCTAATTTACTATATACATAGTAAAAATACTGGAAGGAAATACACGAAGTTGTGAATAGTAGCTATTCCTGGGTGGTAGAATTATGGTTGATTTTGTTTCTTTGTTTAAAAATGGCCCCAAATACTTAAATTTTCCATGTTGTCTCAATATATTTTAAAATATTTATCATGGGTAAATACGGAAATCTGTTAGCTTATATGCTTTTTTCTCATTTTCTTACAACTCCACCTAATACGGGCTTAACAATTTTCAATGGCTGTTATAATTCCTGGAGTGGAGAATCAATGAGTTTTCCCTAGCAAAGACAACTAGTGTGAAGTCTAATGGTACCCGAATGGTAAACGTGTCCATCTACTGCCTCTCCGGTTTACTGGGTTAGACATGGAACAGTGTAAATCTGAAGGTGGCAGTTCACCCTCTCAACAAATATTTCCTTTCGTGACCAAGCACTGTTTGGAGCTGAGGGCAGACAAAGGTGTGCTAAGACAGGGATGTGAGCAAGCCACAGTGAGAGCCTCAGAAAGAGGATTTATTATGAATAAGCAGACATATTTGAGGAATGAGACATTTGAGCTGGCCTTGAAGGACTGCCAGGATTTCTCAAGATCAAAAGCATCATAAGCAGAGAAAACTACCCAAGTAAAGGTGTGAAGGTATGGAGACACTTACAGAAAGAAAAGAGGGACAGATAAAAGGGAGGAGGGGTGTGTGTGTTGTGCCCTATCTTCTCGCTTCCCTTTATAGTCACTAAGGTGCACAGACCATTCAACAGACATACTGCTCCTTTAACCTTGAGAACATCTCCAACATGACTGCTAGAATCTGCTAGGATAGAAAACTCTTCATATGTTTATACTCAATGTATTAAATAAGTTCTACAAGGCAGGGGTCTTGCCTTAATCCTTTTTACATCCCTCATATCATTCTACATATAATACCTACTTAATCAATATTTTGGTTGCTACTTAGTTGAATTAAGGCCCGACTATAATATTATTATAATTCATGTCCTTACATTTTTCCTGAACTTGAAGTTTTCTTGTACACATGACCTCATTCACAAGTTGTCTCCTTGCCTCCTTTTCAAGTCTCAGCTCCTTGTCCTTCTCAGCCAACTTCTTTTCCTTCTCTGCCTCTAATACTCTGTCCAGTTCGTTCTCCTGAGCTCTCTCCTCCTCACGCCGCTGCGCCACATACTGACGATATATCTCCTGTTCTCTTGCCATCTCTTCCTACACAACAGAAGAATTACCTCACGTTGTTAACTTGTAGGTGTGATGATGGTACAGAGGTTAAGTTTTACAATAATCTTTTAGAGCTACAATCCCAATTTTTTAGAACTACATACTGACACATTTATAGATGAAATATTCTCTCTAGGGTTTAGTTCAAAAAATTCAAGAGTGGTGGTAGGGAACGGGTGGGGCACACATGAAATACAGAATCGCCGTTCGTTGGTGGTGGTTGAAGCTAGGTGAAGGGCATATGGGCGTTTATTGTGCTATTCTTGTACCTGTGCTTTATAATACATTTTTGAATAAGTTACTTCGAACACTTTCCCAAAGTGTTTTTCAAAGCAGTTCCTAGATAATTTTCAATTATATAGCTCTATCTGTATATTTATTTTCATTTAGGTAGGTTATGAAATTATAACCTGATAAAATAAGTCATTACCACCATGATAGCACTGTTTCTGACTAGAAGCTGGTCACTTGATACTATGATGACAGACCTTCTCAGCCTTAGCTATACTTTGAAATCACCTGGAAGCTTTAAAAAGTACCAAGGGCTGAATCTCACCCTAAGACTCCGATCTAATGAACAGCGTTTAAGTTCTCCAAGTAATTTTAATTTGCAGCTAAGACTGTCAACTGGGCTTTGCAATGCTGGCATTTTTAATTGGCTTTTCTGTTATTCATGGTATTACCCTTGTGCCGTTCCATCCAATCTCTGTCCTGACCTCTTCTGAGAATATCATAGATCTGGCAAGGTCTGAATTGTACCCTCAGAATGACTGGCATTCATAGTCTCATACTTGGGAGTAAATTTAACGAAAGAAGTGCAAAACTCATACTCTGAAAACCAAGAAACTGAAAAAATAAGTGGAAAGACATCCTACATTCATGGATCAGAAGGCAATACTGTTAAAATGGCAATGTCTACATTTGGTCTACAGATTCAAAACAATCCTTATCAAAATCCCAAATGGTTTCCATGGAGAAATCGACAAGCTGATTCTAAATTCATATGGAAATGCAAGAGAGCCAGAAAAGCCAAAGCAATTTGAAAAAGAACAAAGTTGGAGGATTCACATTTCCCGATTTCAAATTTACTGCAGAGCTACAGTGATCAAGCCATATAGATATGTGCTACTGGCATAAGGATGGACACATAGATTAATGGAATAGAACTGAGAGTCCAAAGATAAACCCTCAAATTTACCATCAATTGATTTTGAATAGTGTACCAAGACAATTCTATAGGGGAAGAACAGTTTCTTCAACAAATGGTGCTGGGACAACTGGCTATCTACATGCAACAGAATGAAGTTGGACCTCTACCTCATACCATACACAAAATTTAACTCAAAATGGATCAAAGGCCTAAATGTGAGAACTAAACCTATAAAACCCTAAGAAGAAAACATAGGACCACCATCTTCTTGACCTTGGGGTAGGAACACATTTTTAGATATAACACTAAAAGCACAAGCAACAAAACAAAATATAGATAAACTGGACTTCTTCAAAATTAAAACTTTTACACTTCAAGAAATACCATCAAGAAAGTGAAAAGACAACCCACAAGATGAAAAATACATATATTTACACACAATTTATGTGTAAGGGAGTTGTATCTAGAACATATAAAGCACTATTACAACTCAATAATAAAGACAGCCCAATTAAAAATTGGGGAAATGATTGGAATAGATTTCTTGAAATTTCAAATAGGTTCAAATAGATTTCTCCAAGGAAGATATACAAATGGTCAATAAGCACAGAAAAAGAAGCTCAGCATCAATGAGGATGTGGAGTCATCAGGGAATGCAAATCGAAACCATAATAACAGATCACTTCAAACACACTAGGATGGTTGAAATAAAAAAGACAGACAATAACAAATGTTAACAAGCATGTGGAGAAATCAAAACCTGTGTGCACTGCTAGTGAGAATATAAAATGGCAAAGCCACTTTGGAAAACAATTTGGCAAGTACTCAAAAACTTAAAGTTACCTTAGGACTCGTTAATTCTACTCCTCGGTATATGTCCAAGAGAAACAAAAACCTATGTCCAAACAAAAATTTATATACAAGAATATTCACAGTAGCATTACTCATAATAGGAAAAAAATGCAAACAAATCAAATGTCTATAGATTGACAAATGGATAAATGAAACATGGTATATCCATATAATGGAGAATTATTCAGCCATATAAAAGAAGTATTCATACATGTTACAACATGGATAAGCCTTGAAATATGCTAAGTGAAAGATGCCAGTCAAAAGGTCACATAATATATAATGCTATTCATAATAAAATCCACAATAACAAATCCAGAGACAGAAATTATATTAGTAGTTGCTTAGGGATGGCAGTAAAGAGGGGCACCTGGGTGGCTCAGTCAGTTAAGCATCTTCCTTTGGCTCAGGTCATGATCCCAGGGTCCTGAGATCCAGCCCCAAGCTGGGACCCCTGCTCCATGGGGAGTCTGCTTCTTCCTCTCCCCTCTGCCCCTCCCCGCTGCTTGTGTGCATTCTCTCTCTCTCTCAAATAAATAAAACCTAAAAAAAAAAAAAAAAAAAAAGGAATGGGGGTAAGGGGTGAGGAAGAGGGAATAGCGAGATAATAAAAAGTTCTAAAATTGACTGTGGTGATGGTTGCACACTTATGTGAATATTCCAAAAACCACTGAATGTATATTTGAAATGGGTAAGTTGTATGAATTACACCTTAATAAAGCTGCTAAAAAATAAAATGATCTAATGGAGAACAAAAAACTTAATAGCAAAAAAAAAGGAAATCAAATAATTCAATTAGAAAATGGGAAAGAAATCAAGAAATGGGCAGAAGACATCAACAGACATTTCTGCAAAGAAGACATCCAAATGGCCAACAGACACATGAAAAGGTGTTCAACATCACTCGGCATTAAAGAAACACAAATCAAAACCTCAATGAGATACCACCTCAAACCAGTCAGAATGGCTAAAATTAACAAGTCAGGAAATGAGAGATGTTGGCAAGGATGCGGAGAAAAGGGAACCCTCCTACACTGTTGGTGGGAATGCAAGCTGGTGCAGCCACTTTGGAAAACAGTATGGAGGTTCCTCAAAAAGTTGAAAATAGAGCTACTACCTTATGACTCAGCAATTGCACTACTGGGTATTTACCCCAAAGATACAAATGTAGGGATCCAAAGGGGTATGTGCGCCCCAATGTTTATAGTAGCAATGTCCACAATAGCCAAACTATGGAAAGAGCCAAGATGTCCATCAAGAGATGAATGGATAGAGAAGATGTGGTGTGTGTATATATATATATATGTGTGTATATATACACACACACATATATATATGATAGAATATTATGCAGCCATAAAAAAAAACCAACAAAATCTTGCCATTTGCAATGACATGGATGGAACTAGAGGGTATTATGCTGAGCGAAATAAGTCAATCAGAGAAAGACAAGTATCATATGATCTCACTGATATGAGGGATTTGAGAAACATGACAGAGGATCATAGGGGAAGGGAGAAAAAAATGAAACAAGATGAAACCAGAGAGGGAGACAAACCATAAGAGACTCTTAATCTCAGGAAACAAACTGAGGGTTACTGGAGTGGGGGTAGGTGGGAGGGATGGGGTGGCTGGGTGATGGACATTGGGGAGGGTATGTGCTGTGGTGAGCACTGTGAATTGTGTAAGACCGATGAATCACAGACCTGTACCCCTGAAACAAATAATACCTTTAAAAAAAAAAAAAGAGAGATAGTAGGAAGGGAAAAATGAAGGGGGGGACTCAGAGAGGGAGACGAGCCATGAGAGACTGTGGACTCTGAGAAACAAACTGAGGGTTTTAGAGGGGCAGGGAGTGGGGGGATGGGTTAGCCCGGTGATGGGTATTAAGTAGGGCATGTATTGCATGGAGCACTGGGTGCTATAAGCAAACAATGAATCATGGAACACTACATCAAAAACTAATGATGTAATGTACGGTGACTAACATAATAAAATAAAATTTAAAAAAAAAAGAAAAAGAAAATGGGAAAGAAATATGGGAAAATATTTCACTGAAGAGGATATACAGAGAGCAAATAAGCACATGAAAAGTGGATCAACATCATTAGTTGTTGATTTACATTATTGAATGTACATTTTTGGTTGGATGGCAAAGCTACTCTGAAAAACAGCTTGGCAGTCTTAAAAAAACTAAACATGCGATTACAATTGCCCTTCAAGACATTTTTTCCAGAGAAACAAAAATTTATGTTCACATAAAAGCCTGTACATGAATGATTATAGCAGCTTTACTGATAATAGCCATAAACTGGAAGCAACTCAGGTGACCTTTATTTTTCATTATTATTATTTTTTTTATTAAACCCAGGTGACCTTTAACAGGTAAATGGTAAAAACAAACTGTGGTATAGTCTTACCATGACTACCACTCGACAATAAAAATAAACACTACTGATACTTTCAACAACTTGGATAAATCTCCAGAGAATGACGCAGAACAAAACTGTCAATCCCAAAAGGTTACATACTATATGATTCCATTGATATAACACTCTTGAAATGACAAAATTATGGAAATGGAGAACAGGTAAGTGGTTGCCAAGGGTTAAGAAGGGGGTGAGGACAAGAGGGAAGTGGATAGGGGCACCTGGGTGGCTCAGTCGTTAAGCATCTGCCTTCGGCTCAGGTCATGATCCCAGGGTCCTGGGATTGAGCCCCACATCAGGCTCCCTGCTCTGCGGGAAGGCTGCTTCTCCCTCTCCCACTCCTCCAGCTTGTGTTCCCTCTCTGGCTATGTCTCTCTCTGTCAAATAAATAAATAAAATATTAAAAAAAAAAAAAAAGAGGGAAGTGGATATGGCCATAAAAGGAAAACATGAAGAATCCTTGTGATGGGAATGTTCTGTATCTTGACAGTTCAATGTCAATATCCCGGCTGTGATATTATACTATAGTTTTGCAAGATTTCATAGAGAAAAACTGAATAAAGGGTCCATAGCATCTCTTTGTATTATTTCTTTCAACTGCATGTGAATCTACAATTATCCCAAAATAAAAAGCTTAATTAAAAAAAATAGTAGCAGACTTCCTGGTTTCTAGTCTGGGATATAAGGAGCTTAGAAGCTGCCACTCTGGCATCCTAACAACAAGCAAAAAGCTAGCAAACTTAATAAATCAACAATCTTAGGGGCGCCTGGGTGGCACAGTCAGTTAAGCATCTTGATTTCAGTTCAGGTCATGATCTCAGGGTCGTGAGATCAAGACTTGTGTTAGGCTCAGTGCTCAGCACGCTCTCTCTCTCAATCTCTCTCTCAGAAATAAATAAATCTTAAAAAGAAATCAACAGTCGGGACACCTGAGTGGCTCAGTCGGTTAAGCGGCTGCCTTCGGCTCAGGTCATGATCCCAGGGTCCTGGGATCAAGTCCCGCATCAGGCTCCCTGCTCAGCGGGAAGCCTGCTTCTCCCTCTGCCTGCCGCTCCCCCTGCTTGTGCTCTCTCACACTCTCGCTGACAAATAAATAAATAAATAAAATCTTAAAAAAAAGAAAAGAAAGAAATCAACAGTCTTAGATCCATAAGAGAAGTGAGGTCTCCAGATTGGAGAGACAGACAAGTAAATACAGACAATCAGAACTTACCATAGTGGAAACCCATGAGCAGAAATTTCTATGGGAACCAGTGCTGGGGTAGGAAAACCTGTAACTGATGAATTGCTAGAGGCTCAGTGTAGACGCCTCTAAGAGTTAAAAACTCTAAGGGGACCCAGCATTGAAGGGTGGGGGAGACCACACTTTTGTGAGTTTTACCTCCTGAAGCTCTCTCTACCAGGTTCTCACAGTGAATATTAGAGAAAAAGCCTTTCACGCTTCCTGCAGCAGGAGAAGAAATGGAATCATTTTGAAATACACCAGAGCATTCTATTCTTAGGTTTGCTCTCAGGAGAAACTATTTAACCAGAGCCTAACCTGCTGGGGTTTTATCTGAACCTAACTGACCTGGAAGAAGGTAAATACTCAACTCCAGGAACCCTGTAGCTTTCCATGTGGGAAAAGGGAAACACCATAATCAAGGATTCCAATGACAAGGGAGCGTCCAGACCCAAAGGCACCAGCTCTAAAGATAGAGGGAGGATCCCCCTTCCTCTACTTGCTTGGATTTTTATGGCTTGATGCTGACCTCACCCTCCTATTGTAGTTATTACAACAAAGGCTCAAAGCCAGTGGAACACACTAGATGAGGCCTGATTCCTTCTCTGTAACATTGGTATGGTCCAATGGGTCTATCACATCTCTGAACATAGCAACACAGATGACCCAGATTTCATCTCCAATCCTGAAGAGGCCCCAATTGTCCCTAAAACCAGATAATTGTTCTTACAGGAAAGTCCCCTCCCAAATTAACAGAGCCACGTGCCTCCACTTTGTGGGGACCTCCCATACTATTCAGGAGGCACTGGAAGGAGTAAACTTAATGGCACCCCATGAAAGAGATACTTAACTAGACTCCCAGATTTTATAATACCAAGGCAGCCCACAAACCCAAGGCCAGCCTTCAGGTGCCAAACCCTGCAACCCACCTTCCAGAGCAACATTCCCGCCTCCTGGTCCTGGAGCTCCTGTGCCAAATCTGTCAGGAAGCAATGTCTGAGACACTTCAAATAGCAGGGGGCCTTGTACTGGCAGCTCCACCAACTGGGGGTGCCCAATGATATATTGGGACAACCCCGAGGTAAGCTCCTCTGTTTAAAACAAGTGATTACCGCACTACAGAGCCCAATCCTAATGTCTCAGAGGCCTTCAGAGAGTCCCAAGGCTCGCTCTCTCACCCAAACAACTTCCCTGACCTGCAGGCTTGGCATGGCCCAGAGAATTACCCTAGGGATTTGGCAGTCCCTCAGAGCTTGTCCCACCCGCACAACTGTTCATTTACAACTCTGGTGGCCCACTAGGTCAAAGGCAACCACCAGACATTCCTGGCTCTATTAGACACAGAAGCCCAAGTCACAGTGATTCTAAACTCAGTCGTGGACACCGTGCATTCCTTTGCAAGGGGCACCCCTGCCAACCCAGCAGAGCTCACTGAGATCTGCTCAACTAGCAGTAGAGCCCGTACTTGTAGTCCCACCCTGAGCCAGGCCTCTAGTATGTACAGTTGACTCTGAACAATGTGGAAATGCAGAATGGTATAGCCACTTTGGAAGACAATTTGGCAGTTTCTTAGAAGACTAAATATACTCTTACCATATGATCCAGCAACTACACTCCTTGGTATTTACCTAAATGATCTGAAAACGTAGAGCCACACAAAAGCCTGCATACAAATGTGTACAGCAGCTTTAGTCATAATCACTAAAACTGGAAATAACCCAGGATATCCTTCAGTAGGTGACTGGATAGTCTGTGGTCCATCCACACAATGAAATGTTATTCAGAGCGAAAAGGAAATGAGCCATAGAGCCAGGAAAAGGCATGGAGGAAACTTAAATGCACAGTACTTGGTGAAATAAGTGAATCTAAAAAGGCATCATACTGTATGATTCCAAATTCATGACATCCTATAAAAGGTGAAACTGGAGACAATAAAAAGATGAGTGGTTTCTAAGGGTTTGGAGTCGGGGAAAGGAATGAACAGGGGGAGCACAGAGGATTTTAGGCTAGTGAAATTACCCTGTATGATACTTTCATGGTGGCTACATGTCATCTTACATTTGTTCAAACCCACAGAATGTACAACACCAAGAGTAAACCTTCATGTAAACTATACACAATGACTTGTCGATGTAGGTTCATGAATGGCAACAAATATCCCACTCTGGTTGGGGGATATTGGTAGTGGAGAAGGCTATGTCATATGTAGGGGCAGGGGATACATGGGAAATCTCTGTATCTTCCGCTCAATTTTGCTCTGAGCCTAGAACTGCTCTAAAAAATAAAGTTTATTTTTGGGCACCTGGGTGGCTCAGTTGGTTGGGCAGCTGCCTTCGGCTCGGGTCGTGATCCCGGAGTCCCGGGATCGAGTCCCACATTGGGCTCCCTGCTCAGCGGGGAGTCTGCTTCTCCCTCTGACCCTACCCCCTCTTGGGCTCTCTCTCTCTCACTCTCCCTCTCTCTCAAATGAATAAATAAAATCTTTTAAAAAGAATAAAGTTTATTTTTAAAAAGGAACAAAAAAAATAGTATCTACAGGAAAAGCACAACACCCTCAAGAGTTCAATACAAATTTCAAAAGAACAGACAACTGAATACATACTGTAATGCTTTTCTCTACGCTCTGCCTAACAAAACTTTACATATTTTTCAAGGTCCAACTCAAATACCACTTTCTCAGTATGTCTTCCCCAGCTTCTCGGCATACTTAGTCACTCATTTCCTTCATTCCCATCCTGCTATCACAGTGCCAACTCCATGTTATAGCAGTGCTCCAAATTGAGTGGGCATCAGAATCCGCTGGGGGAGCTTGTTAAAACAGGTATCTTGCCCCTGCCAAGATTTCGATTTGGAGACTCTGATTCTGGAGGCTATGAATTTCTATTTCTAACATCCTCCCAGATGATGCTGATGCTGCTGGTTTGTGGACCACACTTAAGAGTAGCACAGTATGGTTCATTCTACATCTGGCTGGCTCCTGTAAGACTGAAAGCTAAGCAAGGTACCTCATCCAGCACATAGTAGGCACTGAATAAACATCTTACTCTTTTTTGCTTCTTTTTATCAGCCTCTTCCTCTAAGTCTTGAAGAGCCCTTTGCACGAGCTTCATGTTCAAGTCCTGCTCTTCTCTGTATTCCTGCTGAATATGTTCTATCTTCTCTCGGAGGGCTTTTTGCAAAGCAGCTCTAATTTCCTGTTTTGTCTTCCGTTTCTTTAGCTTATCCTGTTCGTTCTCAAGTTTCACCTGTGCTTTGTCATTTTCCTAAGGTAAAACAATAATGAAGATTATGCATCAGTATAGCTGGACAAAACAAATAAGGTAATGCATTTCACTTAAGAGACTGAGAATCAAGGGTTCCTTGGAGATACACACACCTGAATTTAGAGGGACTGTAAGATAGAAAACTTGCAGGATGGGTTAGCCTGGTGATGGGTATTAAAGAGGGCATGTTCTGCATGGAGCACTGGGTGTTATACACAAACAATGAATCATGGAACACTACATCAAAAACTAATGATGTAATGTATGGTGATTAACATAACATAATAAAAAATGGCTATGTCAAAAAAAAAAGATAGAAAACTTGCTTTTCATTGCTGAGTCAGCAATAACACTTTGTGTTGTGAATGATTATGAAATAATAAATGGTTGTGGAGTTCAAAATGCAGAAAAGTATAGAGAGAAATCACTTTTAATCTTAGTACCCACCACCCACTACCACACTCAACATTTCAGTGTATTGGCCTTCTAGACTTTACTCTTCTATGGACACCTGCAACATCTAGATATGGACACATTATTAAGCAGCAGTAGGAGTCCCAAACTGGAAAGGTACCATCAAATACATATACAAAATTAAATGGTATGCATTTTGTTCTTTAAAAGTACTCCCCCATTCTTCTCACTTCTTATCTTTCTGACCTTCTGGGCTGGCTTAATTGCCTGGCCAACCAAGCAGTTTTAACTAGGGCACCAGTGTTGTTGGGCATTGTGGGTTTGCTAGAAAATCTGCGTATGGTATAAACTGCAGCACTAGTCCTCCTGCCAGAGGCAGCTGAGCAGTCCTGGAGGGATAAGTACTTGCCCAGCTGGGACAAGAGATGACGTGGCAGTAGTGAGAATGGCATACAATTCCCAATGTGATTTAACCGAGACTCACAACAGCCACAATCACCATGATCACTGGCTTGTGAGAAGACAGTTATATGCTAGACTTTCCTATTAATGTCATGAATAGTAAACCCTGAATTGTGAGGGTCAAAATAAAATGTGAAAATCCTCCGCCACATCTAAGGAAAAGCAATGGCTATCAAAAATGAAAGCCAGTAGAATAGCAGGCCACATTTTTTTAAAAGTAAGGCTGACTACACCAGGACAAAGCAATCAGCCAAATCCCCACTATGAGACCTGGGGGAGATGGGATAGGACAGGGGAGAAGTGTTCAAGATTAAGAGACATAAAAGCAGTTCATCAAGTCTTGGTTTCTCCAGGGTAGTTCTGATTGTGCACCTGTTGTGCCGATGTAATGAATTTATTGCATCCCTTTCGACCTCAGTTTTGCCCTGGTTTGAATAAGAAAGAGTCCCTCTTTCTAAAGAGACTCTAAGAACCATGTTTGGATTCTGATTTAAACATCAAGTAATTCAGACAATGATGGAAATTTTGATGTTGATTTAAGATGATAAAAAGGAATCACAGTTACTTTTTTTAGGTCTGATATTGGCATGTGTAAGAAAATGTCCTTAATCGTGTCACTGAGATGCATACTTGACATGTATTTAAGGGGGAAATGACATGTCTGGGATTGATATTTTAAAACATAAAAATGGAGTGGGGTTGGGGGAGGTAGAGGAAACCAATATGGCAAAATTATACAGCTGCTGAAACAGGGAGAGGGGTAGAGAGGGGTTCACTGTACTCTGGACTCTGTGCATTTGAAAATGTTTATAATAAAACATTTAAAAAGGGTGGAATTTATATAACATTCTCAAAATCACAAAATAATAATGATAAAGCATATATCAATGCTGCCAGGAGTTAGGGTGGAGGGAGGTTATAACTATAAAGGAGTAGCTTTAAAGGAGTTTCTTTGGATGATGGAACAGTTCTTTCTGCATCCTGATTTTGGTAGTGGTTACAAAAATCTATACATGTGATAAAATTTCACAGAACTACACCCCTTCCCCCCCGCAGGTCTACATGTAAAAACTGGTGAAATCCAAAGATTTTACTATATTTAAATAAAGAATAACTTTAATTGAAGGTATTACACCAATGTTAATTTCCTGGTTTGTTTTGTTTTCAAATGCAACTTATTTTTGCATGTTTATTTTGTATCCTGCAACTTTACTCAATTTGTTAATTAGATTGAACAGTTTTTGGGTAGTCTTTAGAATTTTTGCTGTATAAAATCTTATCATCTGCAAATAGAGGCAATTTTACTTCTTCCTTACCAATTCTGATGACTTTTGTTCTCTTTCTTACCTAAGTGCTCTGTTTAGTAGGACTTCCAGTACTATGTTGCCCACAGTGTAACAGCGGGTACCCCCTTGTTTTTTGCCTGATTTTAGAGAAAAAGCTTAAAACCTTTCACCACTGAAAGGTTGGGCTTGTTATATAAAGTTGTAATTATGTTGAGATACCTCCTTCCATACCTAATTCGTTGATAATTTTTAACATGATCGGATACTGAATTTTTTCAAATGTTTTTCTGCATCTATTAAGATAACCATACAATTTTTGTTAATTTCCTGGTATTTATAGTTACATATACAAATATATAAATACAAATATAAATATAAATACATACATATATAATGCTTGGTTACATAAGGGTATATACAGGAACTCTACTATTTTTGCACTTCTTGTGAGTCTAAAATTGTTTCCAAAAAAATGTTTTTGAAAGGAAGGTAGAAATAGAGCTAAGCATGGTATAATGAAAAATAAATATTTGGTCTGTATCCCTGTGTCCTGGCACATAGCTTCTAAAACCTTTGTGATCTCTGAAGTGGTAAGACTATCTTTTGTACCCTTATGTTATGACTGGTGGCTGGAGCCCCTACATAACTTCAGGGTGGGGCTGGTAACCAGAAAGAGCAAACCATATGATTAGAGGTTTGAAACTTTCAGTTCTGGATATCCCTCTATCTCCAGAGAAGAGAGAGGGGCCAGAAATTGAGTTCAGTCACCAATGGTCAATGATTTAATTAATCATGCCTACATAATAAAACCTCCATTAAAATGCCAAATGATAGGGTTGGTGAACACATGGAGATTGGGAACATGGTATGCCCAGAGGGTGTGCAAGCTGTGCATACTGCCCCCCATACCTTGCCCTATGCATGTCTTCCATTTGCCTGTTTCTGAATTGTACCTTTTACAATAAACCAGTAATATAGCAAGTAAAGCACTTTCTTGAGTTGTATGAATTATTTTAGTGATTTATCAAACTTAGAGGGAGTTATGAGAACCTCTGACTTTATAGCCAAGTTGGACAGAAGTGTGAGTAACCTGAGGACCCACCACTTGTGACTGGCCTCTGGAGTATGAGCAGTCTTCTGGGACTGAGCCCTTAAACCTGTGGAGTCTAGTGCTATCACTGGTAGCTAGTGTCAGAATTCAATCAAATTGTAGGTCACCTAGTTGGTGGTGTCCAGAGAGAATTAGAGAATTGTTTGCTGTGAGAAAAAAACCCACACATTTGGTGTCAGGACTGTGAGTAAAAATGACTCACTAGGTATCTTAGCACAGAAGTAATTTGGGGGCCACCATTTCAATTTTCTTAGAGAAGCTAAAATATTTAGACATTTTCCACTAAACTCTCCAAAAGAAAACAGTCTCAAACCCAGGAAGGTTTTTAGACCTCTGAAGTACCTTACCTTTGGCACTTCTTATGGTTCGAAGATTCAATACTTGGGATTTCCCAGGAAAATATATTTTTTCCTTAAATTTGGTGGTATTAAAGTATCAGTTGCTAGAAGCTTTATACACATATAAAATTGCTACTTGTTTTAGTGCTTTCATACATTTCCAGTGACAGTTCTAATTTCTCTATAGTAGGGGCAACGACCTTGCTGGAACAAAATGGTTGATTTTGGTGGCTGGGGTGGAGAGGCCACTGTAGCTGCTGTGTAGCGCTTGACAGAGGATTTGGAAACTGTAAGTTACCCATATCAAAGAACAGGGGGATATTGCCAAATTGCCACCAGCCCTCCATGGTACTGCCCATGATTATCACATTTCATCCTCACAACAAAGACAAGTGCCTTTTGCCTCATTTTTTAGATAAAGAGATCAAGTCACAGTAGTGGAGTAATTTGCGCTATGCAGTGGGATGGCGCTGTTGACTGGGCCTTGGACTCCAGGGCTCTGACCATGGTCTGCTGCCCTGTGAACTAGCCAGGCCATGAGGCAAAGGGCATGGCAGCAGGCCTGCAAACTGTGTACTATACCCATAGAGTGGATCAACCCGCAACAAGCATCGTAAAAGGCCCACCACAAAGCGTGCCTCCTCTTCCTTCAGCTGCTGCTCAGCCTGCCTTTGCGCTTTGATGCCGGTGATCTGGGCATTCAGCCCCAGGCGTGTGTTCTCCACCAGCTCTTTCTGCCTCCTCGCCTCTTCAGCTTCTCGCTTTTCCTTGGCTAATCGGTCTTCTTCCCAGAGCTTTGAGAACATCTGCTCTTCCACCAGTTTCTGTTTTTTCAGCTCCTCATTGAAAGCTATCTGTGCTTTTCGCTCCTCCCACACCTTCTTCTGATGGATACAAAACAGTTCAGCACGGAGCTCCTCACAGCGTTCTCTGAAAGGAGAATTTATTTTTAAAAGGCAAAACCCAGCCTTTCATGAGACACTGCTCTATTCAGGCACACATCTGCACAGACACTGAAGTATGAAAAGTAAAAGACCTGGAGGTAGACCACCAGAGCCGAGAGGACATGTGAGGGGCAGCGGGGAGACAGGCATCATGATGTCACAGGCAAAGCACAGGCACTGGCGTCCAGCCAAGCAGACTTTGAAACCACGATCTGACATTTCTGTGTGACCTTGGATCACAAACTCGACCTATCTGAGCGTGTCTCTTTATCTGTAAAACAACTCTCTTTCAAGGTTCTGGTAAGGATCAGAAAAAATGGATGAAAATATCTGGTAGAGAATAGAAGCTAAATAAATGGTAACTATTATTATTTCCATAGAGGAAATAGAAGAGGCATGGGTCCCTGCAATATTACAAGTAGATTAAGGCTTTGGTAGGAAGAGGCCCTGCATGCCAAGGAAAGAGCTAAGGGTCAGCATATCATGAAGCTGCCCCAATGCCCCTCATTCCTGGTGGGACACATGTCACTGAAGGGGTTTCTGCCAGAGCTGGGAAAAAAGCCCAAATGCTACCTTCTCATACCTAGACTTATGTCACCATTCCAGAAGAAATGCTCTTTCAGTAAGTGTTTAGATTTTTATCTTTTCTCTCAGTCTTAGTAATTCAAATTTCCTCAAAAGTTCTTCCTTGAGCCCGTTTTTAAATTAAGGGCTATGATATTCAATACTGTCTACACTTTAGATTTACTTAGGGGTATCTTTAAAATCCTATTCTCCACTTCTTCCCTCTGCTACTCCCAGACCAGACTAGTTAAATCAGAATATCTGGGGGCAGGACCCAGGTACCTGTATTTTTTCAAAGAGCCTCAGAAACTTCTGGCATATAGTCAAGTTTGAGAACCTCTGATTCAAGGTAATGTTTATAAACATCACGTCTTCCTGGTTTCATCAAGTTCAGCACCAAGAAGCTGAAATTTGAGAATGGGCTCAATAAAGAACTTCAAAGAACTTAGTTGCTAAGGCTGAAAGAAAGGTTGATGTCTAAAATTACAAGTGTGGTCAATATCACAGAAATTGACATTTATCAAATACAGTTGAGTATTGTTCAACATTTGATGAGGACTAGTCTCATTTTCCTAAATAAAGGGGAATCTCTGTGAGGGCTGGAACTTAGAAACATATTTCAGGAATATATTTCCCATACTACCTACCCAATGTCCATTAAATAACTGTTGGTTAAATTGATATACAGTCATGCTTATTAGCAAAATAATGATAACTGGCAGTTATCTATATTCTGTGGAAATCTCAAAAAGATTACAGAAGCTGAAATTGCTAGGTTACCAAAAAAATTTAACATTGAAAAATGAATTCATCAGTGAAATTCTATCAGAATTGGCCATGACAACTAATTAAAGACCTTCCCAATCCTATGACTTATACTCCAGAAAAGTTATTCAATCAACGAAAATCTGAAGCCTAAGAATAACAAGTATGGTTTATGATATTTTTTCAAAAAAAAAAAACTTTCTAATTACAAAACTAATACACGCAGAAAAACTGGAAAATATAGAAAAGTATGAAGACACTAAAAATACGCTTAATCCCTCTCCCCAGAGATAATTGCTTTTAGCATGTTAGTGTATTTCTTTCCAGTCTTGTGTATGTGCATTTTTACTAGAATTGGGGTCATTTTGTAGATCTATGTACCTATACTGGTATCTCCTTCTATTTTAATTTTTCCACCTAACATTATTTTGGGAATGTTTCTTCATGGAATCCTCTTAAAATACCTAACCTTACAACTTTATTATAGTTTATTAAGCTATGGAATAGAGTCTACAACCTATAAATATATCAATTTATTTAAATATTTCCTTGTTTGATGAACATATAGGTTACTTCTGACTTTTACTATAACGTTGCAATGAGTATTTATAAATGTAGCTCTTTCTGCTTACCTCTGATGATTTCCTTAAGGTAATTCCTTTCCTTAATATAAAATCAGAGTACAAAAGTGTTGCAAGGCACCTGATGATGCATGTTGCTGAGAAAGCCTGAATTAACACTGTATGAAGGTGCCCATATCAAGTATTTCTTTAGATCAGTAGATCTTCAAACTTTGATTAGGTATCCTTTTCAGTAAAAAAATTCTAAGCACCCACAAATAGGTAGGATTATTATTTATTAATTGTATGCAATTATTACTATATTACTATATCACATAAATTATTAAATATAGCAAAAATAAAAACCAAAGACAGATGAGATTTAAATAAAAAACATCAAATATTTCCTCCCTACATCCTAATGATTCATCTATTCATTTAAAACTTGAGAACACTTGATTCAGGGAAGCTCACTTTTATCTACAGATAAAAGTGTGTCTAACTATTTTCATTATAATAATCTTGATAAGAGGAAAACTTTTTGTTTGTGGGTGTTTTACATGGTACTTTCACAGTAAAATCTTATTTTATCCTCACGTGTGTCTTATAACTTGGAACAGAAAGTACTATCCCCATTTTAGAGTTACACCAGTTGAAACTCAGGGAACCTTAGTGTCTTCCCAAGCCACATAACCAGTAGTTGTAGTATTATTAGCAACAGTTATTGAGTGCTTATTATCTGTCAGGTGCTGTTCTAAGCACTTGACACGTATGAACTCTTGTAATCTTCATAACAACCAATGTTGCAACATCACTACAGGTTCATTCTTATTATTATTATCCCCAGTTTAGATAAAATGGAAGCACAGAGCAGTTAAGCATCATGGGTAAGTTCATACATTTCATATGTGCTAGAGCTGGGACTGAAGGCCTGGTAGTCTGGCCCTGGAATTTGCGTTCTTTGGTACTTTGTTCTATCACCTCTATCAGTAATTAACAAAGGCAAGACAATCCTCAAGTGTTCTGACAACACATCCTAGGGTATTCATTTAATAAAAACACCCCCAAATAAAACAAAGCCAAAAATTGCCTACCTTAATCTGGGATCCAATCACTAATTGTATATAAATATAGAACACTTAAAAACAAATTTCATGGGACGCCTGGGTGGCTCAGTCAGTTAAGTGGCTGCCTTCAGCTCAGGTCATGATCCCAGGGTCCTGGGATGGAGTCCCACATCGGGCTCCTTGCTCAGCAGGGAGCATGCTTCTCGCTCTGCCTGCTCTGCCTGCCACATCCCCTGCTTGTGCACTCTCTCTCTCTCTGACAAATAAATAAATAAAATCTTTAAAAAAAAAAATTTCATGATGTATCAAAAGCATGATCCATAAAAGAAATGTTGATAAAATGGATTTCATCAAACTTAAACCTTTCTCTCTGTGAAAGACCCTGTTAAGAGGGTTAAAAAAAAAAAAAAAACCAACAACTACAGACTAAGAAGAAAAATGTTTCCAAACCACACAGCCTACATAAAGGACTCATATCTAGAATATGAGGCGCCTGGGTGGCTCAGTTGGTTAAGCGGCTGCCTTCAGCTCAGGTCATGATCCCAGGGTCCTGGGATTGAGCCCTACATCGGGCTCCCTGCTCAGTGGGGAGCCTACTTCTCCCTCTCCCTCTGCCTGCCACTCCCCCTGCTTGTACTCTCTCTCTCGTGTCAAATAAAATATTTTTTAAAAATAGAATATATAAAGAACTCTAAAAACTTAATAGCTAATCCAATTAGAAAATGGGCAAAAGACATGAAGAGACATTTCACCAAAGAAGATATAGAGATAGCAAATAAGCACATAAAAAGTTGTTCAACATCACTAGCCATTAGGGAAATGCCAATTAAGACCATGATGACATATCACTACATACCTCTGTTCTAATAGTGACAATATAAAAATCTGGCAAGAATATGGAAAAACTTGGTCTATTATACATTACTGGTGCAAATGTAAAATGGGACAGCCACACTGGAAAACGCTTTGGCAGTTTCTGTAAAAATTAAACATACATAGAAAGACCCGGCAATAGCATAGAACAATTATCCTAGAGAAATGAAAATTTATGGCCACACAAAAATCTGTATACAAATGTTCATATTAGATTCATTTATAATAGCTAAAAACTAGAAACAACCAAAATGTTCAGTAGTGAACGGTTTACACAAACCTAAGTACATCCATACAAGGGACTATAAAGGACAAACTACTGATACATGCAGCCACTTGGATGGACCTCAAAGGCACTATGTTGAGTGAAAAAAGCCAATCTCAAAAGCTCACATATTGGGGCACCTGGGTGGCTCAGTCGTTAAGCGTCTGCCTTCGGCTCAGGTCATGATCCTAGGGTCCTGGGATCGAGCCCCGCATCGGGCTCCCTGCTCTGCGGGAAGCCTGCTTCTCCCACTCCCTCTGCCCCTGCTCGTGTTCCCTCTCTCGCTGTCTCTCTCTCTCTGTCAAAATAAATAAATAAAAATAAAAATTTAAAAAACCTCACATATTGTGTGACTCCATGTATGTAACTTTCTTGAAATGGTGAAATGATGGAGATGGAAAAGAGATTAGCGGTTGCCAGAGGTTGGTAATGATGGGGGTGAGAGGGGTAGGTGTGACTCTAAAGGGGTGGCATGAGGGAGATCTTTGTGGCGATGGGAGAGTTCTGTATCTTGATTGTGGTGGCAAGTTACATGGATCTACACATGTGATAAAATGACACAGAAATGTGCACACATGACGGACCACTGTGAATTTCCTTCATATTGTGCTGTAGTTATGTTTAGATATAACTATGGTGAAAAACTAGGATAAGGGTACATGGCACCTCTGTACTATCTTGACAATTTCTGTGAATATGTAATTACTTTAAAATTTAAAATAAGAGAAATCATTGGCTATCTTGTCATTATTATTCCATTTATTACAGAAAATAACTTTTCTGTTTAGAGGAGTGGAACACTAAAAATGACCCATTCCAGGCATCAAATATTCTAGGTACCTAACAGAAATGAAAGCACATGTCCACCAAAGACACATACAAGCATGTTCAC